GTGTGTATTGTTGTGTGGAGTGGCCTACTGAGGGCTGAGAGTCAGGTTCAATGGCTCCTTCTTAATGTGGCCTTTATAGTGCTCCCAGTCGGGAGTCTATCTTGCTAGGTGTGCTGTTGGTATGCGGGTTTAGTGTTGGCCACGCCAGCCACCTGTGTCCTCCTCCTTCTCCGGTCTTATCGACTTCTGTTTTGACATCGGGTCCCGATGTGGGAGTGGTGAGACAGTAGGGTAGATTCCCCGCAAGTCTACTTTCACTGTATATCTCGCGGGAGTCACCGTGTTGCTTCAAATCGTTGAAATTCGTGCTGCACGTCGTTGAAATCGACGGTTGAGCTGTCAGGTTTGATGTTCCGAAATCTTTCAAGTTTGGAAATCTGGAGGAGTGTTGTTCAAATTTGTTATAAAACTGCAAAAATTGGACTTTCTGACTGGAACAGATTTTTAGTGTTGCTGATTTCTCCGAGAATTTGCTCGACTCTCCATTCTCTAAGCATAGAATTCCGTATATCGATCAGAACATTAAATAACTAGCTAAAGTACTTGGCCTTGGACTGATCGGTATTTTGTTCTCTTGCTGTACCAGCCTTCTTATGGATGCTTGTGCGGCTTGACTGCCGCTGGCGTGTGATGGCACAGGACTTTATAGTCCGCAGGAAGGCCTACATATCTGTTGCTAGAGTCGGCGTCTGAAAACCATGTCTCAAATGGGAGTCCTTCTGGTTTGGTGTGTCACAGCCCGAAACGGTTGCTCCTTGAATGTTAATAGAAAGAGTAATTTCTCCAGTATGAGCAGCAAGCCGACCTTCTAATGTACCTGCAGCTCCAATCACTGCACCACATTTGGTGCACGACTGCCGGAGTTTCGGTCTGTCCGAAGATTACGTCACACGTCGACCAAGTATTGCCTACTCCGGTGTATTTTAGTAGTCGAGGGACTGCCTCAGAACTCTTCTTCATATAGTGAATGACCAAGCAAAATTTGGGTTGGTATTATTTCGCTCGCTCACTCATTCGCTGGTTGCTTTGCTGGTTAAGGTTCAGGAGACGGTGGGTGCCAGACTCCATCGGCATAAATGATGAAGGTGCCTGCATACTTTATTATTGTACGCTTAATCCCTGGGTTCAAGCTCTAATCGACTGCTTGTTGCTTGGTTCAGCCGGTCAGAAATAAAATGACATGGCTGTCATAGTAATTTTTGAATGACTACCAAATTGTGACAAGACTTTTGATCTCAACGGGACGGAGAGGGAGAACAAAACTTTAATCCGGCTCTTGATATGATCAACCTGTGATTGGCCAGTACTACTATCCAACCCTTTTTGATCGTGGGCTTGAACTTTCGCAGACCGCAAAGTGCTTCACAGGCCTATCGAATTGATTCTACACTCAGAATGAATAAATTTCTCCCAGGACAAGAATCTCGTTTGACCGAGACCGTCTACGTAGTCTAATAACTGACTTTTGAAAAACAAGGAGATCCGATTTAACTTCAAGGGGGTTCTGTTTCAAATGGTTGCACCAATGGCTACATCAGCCACTGATGTAATATGCTGATTTTGATTGTTTCTTTGATACCTCGCAAGACGAACTGCTCAGTGATATTTGTGAGATGATGGTATATTTAAAGCTAACAGCTGAAAGAATAATGTCCTTTTAGAATTAAAGTATCTCTTCAGCAGAGACGTACGATTTGCCAGGACCAATACGTATGGCAGAGTTTTTGAGATTCCAATCTCTTAGCGAACTCCTCCTTATGTTACCTGCTCATCAGTAAGTTGCAGGTGTAGACTAAACAATTACGTTGATGACGTCTGTAGCGGGAGTTTCTATTTGCCCTCAAGGCGAAGAAGTGGAGTACTTGAAAATACTAATCTTATCTTAGCTGCCGGATACCTGTGCACGATTGTAGCTTTCAAGAAAAAATGTATCAGTTCGCTTGCCGGATCCCCTCGAAAAGGCCATTTAAGAAATTGGGCTTTCTTCTCTGCCGTCGGCACTTCCGATTTCGGTGGACGCATGAAAACATGGACAGGCAATACATTAATTTCTACAGTTTCATCCCACTAAGTCTGAAGTATAGCCTAGTCCGCTGCCTCACTAACCAAGCTAGGAGAACACGTTCTCCGGAGACACTGGAGGACGAATTCGCACTCATGAAAAACATTCTGCAAGAAAATGGCTTTCCCGATAAGTTTATCAATAAATCTATGGCGGAATGTACACCGAAAAAAAGCCTTATTTTTTGCCATTGTCTGTTCGAAGGGATCCTGCAAGTGAACTTCTATAGCTTCGCTTGAACGCTGCAATCGCATGCACGTATCCAGCAGCTAAGCTAAAATTAATGTTCTCAAGTACTCCATTTCTTCCCATTAAATAATTACAATTCAAACTTTGGTTTGAATACGGAGAATACTGACATCATATCCTACTGCCGAACTGGTAGCACGCTCCATTTTGCTGTCCGTAGTCAATGAACAGAATCACACAGTGCATTGCAGCTACGAAGAATCATATGAAGTTCAGCAGCAGGCCATCCGATTTGCATTTATTTTTCCCCCCCTCCCACGGGTGACAGTTTCTCTCATTAAAATCCCTCAAATGGCATTAAAACCCCTAGAATTTCCCAACAATGCCTAAGGAGTTTTTTCACTGTCTGCTCTTTTTACCCAGTTCCATTACTAGCAACGCTGCATGTTCTGCTGAACCAATGCATTTCATAGCTGCTCTGTACCAATAGGGAGTTCAAAGGTATTAACCTATATTTCCCTTAATGAAACTGACCTGACTTGACAGTGACATACATGTCACAGTGATCATAAATACTTCCGCCGCAGGACTCACAGCGACTGTTTAGCTCTACACTTACCGAACAAAGCGTTAAGCAAGTTGCCTCCGAAATGAATATCTGGCGATTTCTAATTTAGTTGGCTCCTAGTATTGCCGGCAAAGACAAGGGAGACTGGAATTGCCATTTCGGGCTTATAAGCCCTCGTCAGCCAGTCATACCCAAACCCAAGTGGCGTCCCACCCCAGCCTCGAACTCGCAACCGTTTTGATCAGAGTCGAATGCCCTAAGCATTGAGCCACGAGTTAATTGTCTCTTCGGTTTAGTTCAGGAGGTATTGACCCTCGTTGATGAGGGTTCACCTGACTGCTAACGGAACTCATCTTTCCCGCTCTGCCTTGGGCCTTGCCACAGGCTCTAACAGGCTCTGACAGGCGTAACAGCTGGTAGTATAGGCAGATAGCATTGCTGGAAAAGACTAGGAAGACTGGAATGGTCATTTCTGGCTTATGCGGCGCCGGGGTGGGGTGGGAGACCACTTTTGTCTGGTTATGACTGGCTGAAGTGGCTAGTAAACCAAAAATGATCATTCCAGTGTCCCTTGTCATTGCCGGCAATGCTATTTGACTATACTGTCAGGTGTTACGGCCGCCAGGGCCTCTGACGGGGCCCAAGGCAGAGAGGGACGGATGAGTTCCGTTAGCGGTCAGGGGAAAGTTCATCAACGAAATTCTGATTTAGTTTGCTCTTTAAGAAGTCAACTGGAGGCCAGAAGGACTTACTGCTACCCCCTACGAAACCTCTTCATTGAGCCTTGTGGTGTG